CAAACAAAAATAGCTTCTTACTTAAAAATCTCCAGTGCAGCAGGGAGGCGGGGGCAGGATGATGGTGAAAGGAATCCATACTCTCTGCACTCTTTGTAGTGCTATATTCTGCAGTCAAAATAGATTTCTTTCTACTTATGACAAAAAGAGCAAATTCAGAGTGTAAGATAATTTTAAATTGCCTACATCATTATGGTGCTGATTTAGTTATAGCACTTAATTGTTGAGGGAAGTAAGGCAACTCTGAATAAAAGCAAAACATATGGAATTAATAATAAATAGTATATATTTGTTTATTTAAAGTGAGAAAGCACATAACTTATTTAAAATTTTATATTGCCTTTTACCCTCAAAACAATTGGGTAAAGGGAATTCTAATATCTGATATTCTAATACAGCTTTTTTCAGCACTCCCAGACTTGAAGATTTCCAATCCTCCTTGTTGCCTGCACATCTTGCTGATTCCCTAGTCAGGATCACCAATGATTAATTGTGTTCTGTTTTTGAGTATCTCCCTTTGTAAATATATTAAACTCTCTGCCACCTAGAAAAAGAATATTCTATTTACATGAGATGACATGACCACAATGTCAAAGAATAAGCATTAGTTTGAATTACTAATGAAAAGAAATTATGCACTCAGAATGCTTATGTAAATACTATCTTAATTGAGAGTGCTGAATGCTAAATATTTATACACATTTCATATTTACATCTTTGAGTAGCATATTGAAATGTAAAGGTATTGGTTTTGAAATTTTCACTTAATAAATCATTAACAATGAATCAAAAGCCAGGAAGTTCTATGGCAATGCCACTGCAGAATAAGCCTACCTTCAAAATTAAGCTTCCAGGAAAAAGTTAATCAACACATTATTCTAAATATATTTGCAGATGCTATCCTAAAATTTGAGAAAGTCAGACAGTTTACCTTTAAGAAGAAAGCTTCATAACAACAATGTCACATGCACCATTTAAAATGGCAATGGTAAACATTTCATTAACTTTAAAACACTGTTCTCAGGAATATTAAGACTATTTAATTTTTTAAAAGGTTATATATTCATAAATATGTGATGATCAGCCTTGCCATTTGTCAGTGCAGTAGCTAAAGGAGTGTGTGTGTGTGTGTGTGTTTAGAAATAATAAAATATATTTCAAAATATTCTATAATCCAGATTATTAAAAATACATATATATTTTTCTAAATTTGGGGATTGTTCTATTTTTCTGTCTATAATATTTTAAATGTGTAAATACAGCTTCTATCTCTGTTAATATAGCTTTAATACATTTTTATATATTCAGATAATAATACATACAAGTGAAGACTGCTCTTGTCCTCCACTATTGGTTCTGTCCCCTTCCATTGTGACAGAATTTTAGTGGGGCACATGGCTGCTCAGAAAAAGCCTCCATTTCTTTGACACATTTTGAGTTAGATGTGACTAAATTCTAACCACTGGAATGTGAGCAAAACGTCTTACTCTTACATGACTGGATATCTTCTCTCCAAATCTCTTTCCCTTTACACGACAACTGGGAAATAAAAGCAACTGGAAGAATAATTTTGTATCCAGGCATGGAAGCCACACGCTAAGGATGGCAGAGTCACCCTGCCAGCCCTCGACAGCTTACCTCTCAACTGCTATGTGACAGTAAAATACATGTTTAGCCTGTATGTTTGTCATACTGGCCCAGCCTGTACCCCAACTTATACAACGCCACCAAGTAATATGACAAATGAATGACATTTGTTGAGCTCTCATTACATGTCAATAAATAATTTATATGGACTGTATCATTAATCCCAACAACTCCATGAGATTAAATATCTTGGCCAGATCCTAAAGCTGGCAATTGGCAGAACCAAGGTAAAATAGTCTTAGGGATTTTTCAGAGGGATATGCTATAATACTCCATTTGAAATATTAAGTGTTTTCTTCAGTTAGAAGATCATGAAGAAAAAAAACCAGTGAAAATTTACTTTCTGTATCATTCTTAGCAATTATCTCAATGGATATACAAACAAACCATTTCTGTGGTATCAACAGAAATGGGAGGTTTTAAATTATGAATGTATATTATATGTTAAAATTTCCTTCCACTCTTTTCTTTTTGGAAAAAAAAAATCAAATGGAAACATCATGAGTAGGTAATTGTTGCTGGCGGAGCTTTGGTTTCTTATAATTTATATCTTTTATAAACAGAGCATTAGCATAATCAGATATACTGACCTTGTTTACGTGGGGAATCTGCTTATTTTTTCAAGGTACAAATAAGGACAAAAAACGCTATTAACATATGTTCTAAAGCATACAAGAAGGTGTTTCAAATTTCAGAGTTGCATCCTATTTAATAGTTGTGTAACCTAAAACAAAATTTTAACCTTCTCTCAATTATTTTACCCACCTTGTGGATGAGCATATACAACTGATGGACATATGTATTCTCCAAATGGTTCAGTAATGGAATAATCTAATAAAAGACATCTTAAAAGTCTAATCCATCACGGACAATAGTCCTAAGCAACCCTATTCACTTGTGATCTTTAACAGAAGACAGGCAGGTAACCTGGGAAAAATCTCACATTTGTAAAGTTGAAGCACTGAATGTATTCAATAATATTAGCAACTTTCTGTGGGCTACTATTTTAGGATACAATAAAGCAATTTTCACAAAATTGCAAAACTATATTACTATTTTATTTTTGAGACAGGGTCTCACTCTGAATCCCAGGGGGAGTGCAGTGGCACAATCACAAAAAATATATTACTTTAGCCATGGTACCTGTGTTGGTTCTTGGCCTTCATGTAAAAAGCTAATTGTACCCTGTGAAGTCAGTAAAAAATGAATGTAATCTGTAATTTGAAGAACCTTCATTTCTACAATATTAAATTTCAACCTGGAGCCCTGCTAAACTCCTGTGTTTACTCAAATTCTGGCCCTCACTATGTATCCAACACCCCCAATCTCAGCTCAAAATTCACTCTAAACTCTGACATTCTTCCTCAAAAGGAATGAGGCAATATGGAATCATTTGTCTGTGTAAGATGATACTCTTTGTGTGCCCTAGTACTTAAATTCTTTTTCCAATAATGAATTCTGCTCTAACACTCTTCCCACCACCCCAGTTATCTAACATATTATTCATTAATTTGGAATTTTTCTGTCACCGTAAAGAGGTATGTATCCCATAAACAGAAAACTAGAGAGATTTTCTTTCATCTTTTCCACTCTATTTTGTTATGTTAATTCAGACAGAGTCATTGATTCATTCATCAATAGCTATACTCTTCTTAGTAATCTATTCTTCATAAAGCATAATAGAAACCAGTTAGACTTCTTTTTGGTTAATGAGTCATTGCAAAAAAGCAGATTCAGAAAGAAAAGTTTCACATATTAACACCAAAAGGAACAATGAGGCCAGCCAAGCAAGTTGTTTTTTGAGGCTGGGGAAGCACTCACAGAGTAAGGGAGATGCTCCCAAGAGCAGCTTATTTTTAATCTCCACCTGTTGATAAAAACAGTCATGTAATTTCTCACCAGAACCTGTAATTTCTTTTTTTTTCTCATTATGATTATATAAAATATTTGCTCTCAATCTAAATAGTGTCCAAATGAAAATTAACAAAGAAGATTTGGTGGTGCTTCCAAATAAACTCCATGACTTTCACAGAGGCTCACTTACTACCTACACACTTTCAGATTCTAATTTAGTTTCCCACAGTGAATCACTACAGATCCCAAGCATCGGCACACAATAACTTTCAAGTTTCTTTGCACCATCAGTAATTGAGATTTGTTTTTATCAACAGAGTGTCAGTTCTCTGAGGAGAGGAATACTGTTTCTTTATTTATCTTTGGCAGCCCGCACACTGTCTGGGACATATTACCTGCTCAACCATAATACACTGACTAGAATTAAATCTGATCATTGTTATTCGCAGGGAACACCTTTCATTTCCAAACATATTTCCCTTATCTCACAGACACTCAGGTTTGTTCAACACACTCTATAGTTGTTTTATAAAGACATTCTGGTATAATTTTTTGAAGTATATACGTATGTGGTTTCCTTAAGAATTTCTATTAATACATGAAGTAACCACAGATTCCATTTTCTCATACATATTTGCATGATAAATAGTCATATATTATACATCAAGCTGCTTTTATACCACTTTATCTCATTGACTCATCACATTTTTGGAAAATAAAAGGCCTCATTTCATCACTAACAATACAAGATGAGAATACTTTCAAATGTATTATTTACACTGAAATGAAAGTAGTGAGGCCCTTAAAAAGTGACATTTAATTTTTAATAAATCTTACAGAACCTATACATGTAAATGCTCTTACCCATGGAAAATAATCTAGTTAAGATGCCATACAAATAGTTATATATTGCTGTCACTCAAACATCGTTTTAGAGTGACTTTCATAGCCAATTCATAAGTCACAAGAAAAATCATCTTTCATAGAGTCTCCTTATCTTGCACCAAAACCGTTATTACTGATCTCATGACTAACTCTAATCTCTAGACATGCCTGTAAACACTTTTCAAATAATTTTTACCCTCAAAGAATAAAGATATGTTTTCACTGAGGATATTCAAAAGAATCCATCACAGGAGTTCAAGTTACCACTGTATGAGGGATTATTACATATATTCTGAAGAATGGAAACATTATAATAGTAAGTACATGACTTCCCTACTTAAATTTATGGAGAGTATACATGACACGCAGACTCATTTAAGTGAGACCTACGTATCAACTGCAAAGTGTGCTGAGAAAGTTTCCTTACTTTTTAAGGATGGCATTTCTTGTTCACAGTAACTAGCAGTACCAAAGGTGTCTCTCAGAATTTCACCACCAGACCCACATGAGAAATCACATCCCATTTGTAATATAGAGACATAGTTTCCTAGAAGATAGAACTGCATTTGAATTAATGAAAAGATTAAGAAATCTCTTCAGTGGATTTTACTCACATCAACAAGCTGATTGACTCCACTTGCTGTTTTTGCCAGTGTGACAAGGTCTTCTTGCATCTTATCCACCCACGATTTGATACTGCAGAAATCAGAAAAGATTATGTTCTATCAGATCTCTGGCAAATAAAAGTCACACGCTGATATTTTGTATCCATGCTACAGATAATTCATTAAAATGCCCTTAAATTATTCTCCCTCCTAGCACCGACTATGTCCACCCTTCCACTCCAGCTTTAAATTGCAAAAGCGCTGAATCTTTAGTGTGCAGGCTTTCAGGAAGATGAAATGCCTCCAAATCAAAAGAGAAAAATGACATTGATGCCTTGTCCAAAGAGAGTAACCAATTTGCTTATTTTGTATTAAAATTCCATTAAATAGCTATTAAACATTCTAAACTACAAACTTTATCTTTTAGCTTCCAAGTCTTCTGAATATAATAGTAAGATTATACTAAATGCAGACCAGTTGTAAAATGCAAGAAAAATTCCACCAGCCAGGTAGAACATTCAACAATTTGATGCATTCCCTTCTAGTCTTCTAAAATTCCTTCACATAGTTGAAAGCATGTTATATAAAATTCATATATCTTTTAGCTTTATATCATACAATATGTACTTTCCCATGGCATTACAAACATTTTGTAAACATTTTATTTTTAATGGCCACTTAATATTCCATTATCATGGCCACTTAATATTCCATTATCTCTATATTCCATAATATACTTAACCATCCTCCTTTTTAAAGGGAAATTTAAGAAATCATCAGCTTTTAACCACTACATACTACACTACCACAAATATCTTAGAGCATGAAGCTTAAGAATATTTTACTTCCAGTCTGGGCATTGTGGCTCACGCCTGTAATCCTAGCATTTTGGGAGGCTGAGGCAGGTGGATCACGAGGTCAGGAGATCGAGACCATCCTGGCTAACACGGTGAAACCCTGTCTCTAGTAAAAATACAAAAAATTAGACAGGCGTGGTGGCCGGTGCCTGTAGTCCCAACTACTCGGGAGGCTGAGGCAGGAGAATGGCATGAACCCCGGAGGTGGAGCTTGCAGTGAGCCCAGATCACGCCACTGCTCTCCAGCCTGGGCAACAGAGCGAGACCCGTCTCAAAAAAAAAAAAAAAGAATATTTCCTTAGCGAGGCTCTTAGATTTGGAATTACTAGATCCAATTAGATTTGGAATTATTGGATCCAAGTAATTACTGGAATTACTAGATCCAAATTTTAAAGCAGTAGTTTTGATCATTACAATTATGATTGAAGGATTTAAGTTCAAATCTTTTTCAGGTATACAATGTACATCCTAGATGACCATTATGCAATGGACATCTTAAAATATGAGCTATGGATGTCAGGATATTTTAGAAGACCCTAAATCCATGTTCTATATCACTTTTTCCTGGTATTAGAGATATTACCAAATAGAACCACAAAATCTTCCCTATTCATATTAAAATCACTTAATTTGTATTCCTCCATATATTTCACTTATTCTTCCTCAGGTTGTAGACCTAAAGTGTGTATTCCTTTTTGCCAAGGCAAGTATAAAGAAACATTAGTAAGCTAGTAAGAATGTTAGATAATTTATATTTGAATTTGAACTTTTCTCTACATATCTATGTATAATTTCAGTCATGGAGATTTAACTGTGTATGTCTTCTCTTCCTTAGGGAAGAAATCCAGTAGTATAAATATAATTTTTTAAATATAAATATAAGTAGTGTAAATATATTTTTTCAGATAAATTTAAATATAACAAAATAAATATGGAATAAAAGTATGACGTGGAAAAGAGATTTAAATGACATGGAAGAGAGCATTTCAAGAATGATGAGCAGAGAAGAGGGAGAAAAAAATGGAAAGTCAGTTATAGAAAAGGATGAAATGCCTTAGAGGAAAACACAGAGGCTTGACTGACATATGAAACAAACTAGTTACTAAATGAAATACATTAAAACTAGGAATACTTTAGCACATATGAAAATAAGGAAGAATACTTATTAAATCACACTGTATGAACAGGATAGAAAAAGGTAAACGAATATCAAGAAACAAAAAACAAAAGAGAGTAAGGCATAAAATAGAGAAAAGTTGTTAGAATAATATTTTAACTAGTGCTACTTATTCGCTGGTGCCTATATTTGAAAAATATTATAAGTAAATACTCTTAGTAAATACAGTTGTGTCCCATTTTTATATTAAATACAAAAAATTACAGTAGGATACAGGTAGGAGCAAAAACCATTGATATAATAATTTCCTAATTTAGATGAGACTATCTCATTTCTCTAAGCAGGTGCTGAACAAGTACTAGAACCTAGAGAAAATGAGTCATCTCTTCTCAAATATAATTTCCAACACTGACAAATAGTAAGACACGTTATACATCCCTTTAGCTCGAAACTGAGAGGCAAAGAATATATATGTAAGGAAGTGAATGTAACTCATCCCTGAATTCTGATTTATACTAAACTGATGCAAAATATGCATTCTAACTTGTCACAAGTGCACTGTCACTACCAATGTTCATTGAGGTGAACCTGCTTTGGCTGAAAAGCAATGCAGAACCCATCCAATCTTCCCTACCCCACTGACAAGCTGTTAGGAACACTTTATAGGAGCAAGGATTATTTTTTATAAATATGAGGTGTTAACCTGGTTTTCTGAAATGCTTAGGCACTCAGGCTTTCAACCTGGAATTAAAAGGTTATAAAAAATAGAAAATAAGGAAAGGCCCCATTAATCATGAAAGTAAAAAATTACTCAAGTGAAAACACTCATATGAGCAAAAAATTTTTATCAGTCTTTCTCTTTCTTGGTAAATTGTCAAGCACAAATATGTAATCACTAAGCACTATTTTATTAAATTTATACAGAAGACACTATAAAATTTGGGGGAAATTACAGAGGATACAGCTTTTTCATGTAATAAGCAACTAACATAGCACTCCACTAGGAAGAATTCATTGTTATTCTTTGTCAATCCATTCAACAAGTACTAGTAACTGCTGGAAAAGATACTAAAGGATAGAGATGCAGGCTGCGTTTAAAACTGGGTCTGGGAGGGAGAGAGAAAACAAGAAGAAGAACATGGTAGGAAATGTTTGAGGAAGCACAAGAGAGTCAATGCTTAGTAAGTAGTGGTATGAGGAGGTTGATAGAAGAGGCTTTCTGGAGTAGTAGCTACTTGAAGTCATATTTGAAAGACAAGTGGAACTTGTCAAAATTGAGCAGAGAGGGAAGTAACAACGAAGGCGGAGAGAATGTAAAACATGACATGTTCAGTAACTTCAAGAGATTCAAATGATTGAGTCCAAGCTTGGTTCAGCAAAAGGTATGGAATGAGGGCAGGAGAGATAGGGAAGAGTGATGGGTCAGGCCAAGGGTCTTAAATACGATTCTGAAACATTTAGATTATATTCTCAAAATAATGGAGAGATACTAGAAAATGAGAAGTCAGAGAGTAAAAAGATCACGTAAATGTATATAAACATGATTAAATTATTTCCCTGACACTGAACGGATGGTAGTTTACAGGGAGAACAGAAATCACAAACAGAAAGTCTAGTTAAGAGGTAAGAAATGAGATGGACTCAGACTAATTTAGTGGTGGTGGAAGGGATAAAGGAAAAAGAAGGGGAGGCCAAGTAGAAGCAACTAACGCAACAGAAATTCTGAAGGATGGACAATAAGATTTCATGCACTGTTGGGTACAGAAAGTGAATGACAGGAAGAAAGTGGGATGATTCAGGGAGTTTCTCAGGTAGAGGATGATGGGAAATTGTGGCATAGAAAGTAAGTATAGGAGAAATAACAGTTTAAAGGGACATTGACAGGTTCATTTTTATTGGTTCAATTAGAGGTGTTTTGGGGAGACTCAAGTATAAATATACACTAGGCAATTGAATGGCATGGGTTTAGAGCTCTTGAAAGAGAAATCTCCATAGAAATTAAGATCAATGTATAACTCCCGAAGTAGAGTGAAGAGCGAAAGGAAGGAAATAAACAGTAGTTACAACTCTGGAAAGGTACATTTAAAAAACAAACAGAGGAACCTGAGTAGTATAGAAAAAGGAATCCAAGAACAATGGTATCGCAAGAACCAAAGCAGAGAGAAGTTTCTAAAGAGAAGAAAGAAGTATACAGTCATCAAATAAGGTGAAAAATTTATCCCACCTTATCTTTGAGGAGAATGAAACATGTAGAATGAGGAATCAGTGTTCTTTTTGGTTTTTAATAGAATAGAAGTGAGCCTATTTCTATGCAAAAAGAGAAAGGCAAGTAGAGAAGGAAATATCAAAGATTCAGGAGAGAATATGTAATTTATTGACAATGATGGGGTACAGGAAATGCCACCCCCAAACAGGGCACCTTGGCGTTTAAGAAAACAGCAAAAGCAAGGAGGTCTTTCTGACCTTCTCCCACGAGGCAGACAATAAAGCCTAGGAAGGTCACTGTCTGACCTCCCTCCCTTCTCCCCTGAAGACTCTCATGTGGCGAGTGTCCTGCCCTATACCCAAAGGGAATGAACATCACACAGAGACTCCAAGAAGTACTGAATAAACAAGTCTTGCTAAGTTTCCCTAGTTTATTAGTAGATCATACCCTTTCATCTTCTAATCATACTTCTGCAGTACTGTCCATAAAAACAAACAGTTTTCCATAGGTTTTGGGGTCATTTTCTGAAGGTTCCTGTGTCACATAAAACTTAATTCATATGCTTTTCTCTTGCTATTTGTCTTTTATGTTATAGGAGATCTCAGCTGTGAATCTTGCAATAGGTAAGAAATCTTTTCTCCCCTACAACTGTCCTTTAAAAGGTTCCAGATATTTTTTCTAGTTTCCAATGTGAGAATGTGGAAGTGAGGGATGAATTAAGAAATAAGTAGAACCAAAGAGAAATCTAATCCATGGGTAGAAGACAGGATACTTCTTCTCTGGAAAATGGAAAGAGAATGTAGATTTGGGGTAAATTGACATAACTGGAATAACTAGAACAAAAGTTGAGATAGTTTTACCTACTGCTCTCTATTTTCTTTGTAATGAAGGAGGACCAGTTATCTGTTAAG